TAAAAAAATAAAAAATAATAAAATTTAGATAAGCATTTTAAATTATTTTTATTACTGTATAATATACAGTATATATATATTAACAATATTAACATTTAATAACAACAACAACAACAAAAAAATAAGTTAAATTATATAATTTTATTAGAAAAATAAAATAATTATCTAATTTTATTATTTGTATATTTTGTGTAAAAAAATAATATTAATTTATCGTTAAGTACTGTAGTATGAAATCTAATGCAAAATATTGTTTATGTTTTGTTTTTTAATAATTTTTTCTTTTTTGTTTTATCTGTGTTTTGTTTAAGTTATTTATTATTATTATTTTTTTTATAGCCAACACATACAYACACACACACAATAAATCTAATAATATTATACTTTATTATATTTTTTTTATGTTAAGAGGTGATTGCGTGCCCTAACACATCAGCAAACACACACACACACACATATATATATATATATATACACATACATACATACATACATACATACATACATACATACATACATACATACATACATACATACATACATACATACATACATACATACATACATACACACACACACACACATACATATATATATATATACACATACATACATACATACATACATACATACATACATACATACATACATACATACATACATACATACATACATACATACATACATACATACATACATACATACATACATACATACATACATACATACATACATACATACATACATACATACATACATACATACATACATACATACATACATACACATACACACACACACACACACACACACACACACACACACACACAGAACACACACATACATATACACGAACACACATATATATAGACACACATACATACATACATACATACATACATACATACATACATACACATACACGAACACACACATATATAGACACACATACATACATACATAAACATACACACACTTGTATGGCACAAATTGCCATTATCTTAATGTTATTATCTTTTATCATTCAAACACACGTTTATTATTTGATTTTTATTATTATTATTATTATATTCATAGAACAATAACTAACATAAGTAAGTACTGTATATATACTATATTGTAGTATAAGTTGTAATAATAAATATTCATATTTTTCTATATATATATATCAATATTTATTTTTTTTGATGTCCCAAATGCCCAAATGCTTTCAGATGCCATTATTAACCATACAGTGTGTGTGTGTATATATAAGTATTATGTAGTACTAGTAGATTGATTATGTGTGTGTGTGTGTGTGTGTGTGTGTGTGTTAGGCACTGGTATATTATGTACCGGTAATTACTATACTATTAATACAGTATATATATATATATATATATATATATATGTGTGTGTGTTTTGCAAATCATTTTTATACGGTATATATATATACCAATATTTATCATAACTAACTAAACATTAGACATAACCTAACCTAACCAACCAAAAAAAAAAAATAAAATACAAACACACACATACCTGAGCAAACAAAACGAAACGTATGAGCCGTCGACCAATGTCCAGCCTTCCCAGGCATAGAACATGGAGGCGCCCAATAGGACATAGCCGACAATTAGCAATAGACAGAGTATGATGGGCACAGTTACGTCTCCGCCGCCGGCACCACCCCTGTCCTCGCTATCGTCGTCGTCATCACTGTCCGGATGGTGACGACGATGATGRAGATGGTGGTGATGGTGGTCGTCATTATAGCGGTGAAGTCGATGATCGTCCAGACTGTGGACACCGTTCATCAGGTCGAGAGTGTTAGTGTCGTGGATACCGCCGCCGCCAATGGTAGTGGACACKGGTGTAGCGTTACGTAGTATTGAATGGTGTGAGTGATGGTTAGACCGATTTAGKGTACCGCCACCAACACCACCAGCACCGGTACACTGATGATGCTGATGATCGGCCAAATCGACKACACCGGCCGTACATATTTTAGTTTCGGCTTCCATACCGCCGGTGCCCAAACCGTAATGATCACCGACACCACCACCCCTGGAGTTAGAGTTGCACGTTGTGTAGCATTTTGCCTGTCGATAGGGGTCACCGACTCCGCCGCCTCCACCACCGCCCGTAGAGTTACAATGAATTAGATGACCACCGTTTCCGCCACCGCCACCGACRCCKCCTCCTACACCACCACCGGGACTAACATCGTTGAGGGCAATATGATGAACGTGATAGTGATCGTGTAGGTGATGATGGGCGTGATGGTCACCGCCGCCGTTACCCAATAGGCCAGYACCACCACTGGCACCGGCAGCTGCGGCCGCGGCCGCTGCCGACTCACTACTTGAGCAATTACAGCAATAACTGTACAGTGATTTTAGGCTAGTGGCCAACAGTTTGCCAATGTTGGCCAAAAATACCAACATTAATGGTATGCCGACAATAGCGTAGGCAATAGTGGCCAGTTTGCCTTCGGCAGTACGCGGCCTATTGCCGTGACCTAAAATTGATGTGCAATTAAAAAAAATATATATAAATATTATTATTATTATTATTATAAATAAATAAATTTAAAGTATATTAAAAATTAATTAATTAATAATATAAGTTATTTCAAGTTATTATTTTTTAATTATTATTATATCTATAACTTTCATATTAATTGAAACAAAATTATTTGTCACATAATAAATAAAAATAATTATAAAATAAATTATTTCATTAATATTTTAGTTTAGTAATTGATTGATTKATTTTTTTTTGACATAATGTCAATTGTCCTGTATCAAATGTTGAAACTTTTTAATATAATTAAAATAAACTATAATTAATCAGTGATTTTTTATATATATATAATTAATTAATTTAGTTTTTATTTCATTAGTTTGTTGGTTAGATTAATACAATACAGTACACACACACACACATACATACATACACACACACACACACACACACACACAYACACACATAAATACACACACATATACACTAAATGTTTTGTAATACACATTAATCAAATGTACACTGGTCAGTCATTAAATATATAATTAAATATATATATATATAAAGTTATATACTGTATATAAAGTATATACAGTATATATACTGTACAGTATTGATCACATCATGTATTATATATATATATATATATATATATAAACATTATATATAATAATAATATACTGTATATAAAAAGTAATTCAGTGATGACTTGACTAATAGTATTGATGGCACTATTGATAGGCAACAGTATGAAAGAGAGAGAGAGAGAGAGAGAGAGAGAGAGAGAGAGAGAGAGAGAGAGAGAGAGAGAGAGAGAGAGAGAGAGTAAAACCATTTTATTTCTATACAGACAGTCATCATCTTCTTCTTACTCTTAATCCAACAAAACGATGACATAATTGAAGAACTGATTCATTATTATTATTATTATTTAGTATATTGTCGTTCATTAAATTCAGACATAAAAATCTATCTTTCATTCACTCACTCACTCACTCACTCACTCACTCACTCACCCACTCACTCACTCATTCAGTCAGTGATCCACTCAAACAAATTCAATGATTTTATATTTTATTTTTTATTTGAGTTTTCATTTTCATCAAAATTATATAYAAGTTTTTCAAGTATTAATATATAATATACTGTAATATTATATCTKTTTTTTGTTGTTGCTTTCAACATAAAATTTATATATTATAGGATTTGAGTGTTAAAAATATATATACAAAGAGAGAGAGAGAGAGAGAGAGAGAGAGAGAGAGAGAGAGAGGAAAAAATAAAGTTTATTAAGAAAAATAAAATAAAAACTTTTTATTTAAAAAACTTATTTTTAACGCTCTATTTGTTACAATTTGTAGTTAAAAAAAAAGTTTTGCAAATGAAAAGTAGATTTTTTTTTAAAAGATAAAAATACTTTTAACTTTTTATTTATTTATTTTCACAGCTTTTTAATACTATTGTAATGAAAACTCTTACTCTCTCTCTCTCTCTCTCTCTCTCTCTCTCTCTCTCTCTCTCTCTCTCTCTCTCTCTCTAAAGATTCATAAATTTACTTCAAATATAATTTCAAGTAATTGAAAGAAAACTTCTTTAAGTAAAATAAAAATAAACGACAAAATACTGTGTGTGTGTGTGTGTGTGTGTGTGTGTGTGTGTGTGTGTGTGTGTGTGTGTATGTATGTATGTATGTATGTATGTATGTATGTATGTATGTATGTATGTATGTATGTATGTATGTATGTATGTATGTATGTATGTATGTATGTATGTATGTATGTGTGTGTGTATGTATGTGTGTGTTTGTGTGTAACTTAAACAGTATTATATAAATATATTGGTTAAGCGATTGATTGAGAAAAAAAAATTGCTATTAACTGTTGTATAACTTAGAGAGTAAGTAAGGAAAGGTAGCTTTAATAATGAAAGTACAGTATATATATATATATATAGACACAAAAGTGTCTGACTGTCTATCTATCTGTTTGTGTCAATGAATTGACTAAACAATTAAACTGTTTGTTTGATGATGAAAAAAGTAACTTTTTTTTGTTGTTGAAAAACTTTGTATCCAATCCTAAAATTTTACTGTTAATACTCTACTACTACTACTACTACTACTAACTGATAACACATTTGTATAGAGACAGTAGTGTCTAACCTGTATATACCGGTATACACACACACACACACACATAGATACACATACATACATACATACACACATACATACACACTCATACATACACACACTCATACATACACACACATATATATATACATACATAGATACATACATACATAGACAAACTACACTCACAAACATACACACACACACATACACACACATACACACACATACACACACATACACACACATACACACACATACACACACATACACACACATATACACACACATACATAAGCTTTAATAATAATACGTTGAAAAACCTTTACAAACTGTGAAAGTCATAGCAAAACAACAACAAAAACTGATGATAACAGCAAAATAAAATAAAGGGTTATATTTCTCATTGGTTTTGAGACTCAGAAAAAAAACCTAACGGTTCACTCACTTGAATGGGAGAGTGAGTGAGTGGGTGAGAKAAAATTAGWGRAGATAAGGACTGTGTGTAAAAGTGTGAACACATTACACACACACACACAGATAATTTTGATCCCTTTCCTCACTGTGCTCTCAGAAATAAAAATATAGTATTATATGGTATCATCAAAAATAAAATAGTCAATGGTATTTAGCTATTAAAGCCCTGAGTTATGTGTGTGTGTGTGTGTGTGTGTGTGTGTGTATGTGTGTGTATGTGTGTGTRTGTGTGTATATGTGTGTGTGTATGKGTGTGTGTGTATGTGTGTGTGTGTGTGTGTGTGTGTGTATGTGTGTGTGTGTGTGTATGTGTGTGTATGTGTGTATGTATGTGTGTGTGTGTGTGTGTGTGTGTATGTGTGTGTATGTGTATTTGTGTGTATGTGTGTATATGTGTGTGTGTATGGGTGTGTATGTGTGTATGTATGTGTGTGTGTGTGTATGTATGTATGTGTGTGTGTTAAGAAAACCTGTAGTATTTTTTAATGCCTTATTCAACACAAAAATACAAAAAAAAATGTTTAATCAAAATGGAAAAGTTATTGATGCAAATAAATATATATATATATAATATAAAAAGTTAGTTATGTTTTTTATACTTTTTGTTATAATATATATATATATATATATATATGACTGATATATATATATGTATAATATAAATATGAAAAATTTTGAAATATAAATAAAAAAAAGTTGATAATAAATATTTTTTTGTTGTTGAATACATTACACATGAATTAGTTTTATTTTATTTTATTTTATTATTTTTGATTTGCTTAACACAAAACAACAAAATGCCATTTGATTTTTATTTTTTAAAAATATTAGTCTCTCTCTCTCTCTCTCTCTCTCTCTCTCTCTCTCTCTCTCTCTCACTCACCAGAGAATTAACAAACAAAATATATAATATATAAAATTTATAAAATAAATTCATATGAATTATTATACATTATTATAGTTATTATCAGTAGAAAATTTTTAGTATAAATTTATTGTACTGTATATACAATAATTTAATATTAATATTATTATTATTATTATGAAACTTAATAACAAAATACATTTATAGATAATAAAATAAAATTTTATTTTTATTMTCTCTCTCTCTCTCTCTCTCTCTCTCTCTCTCTCTCTCTCTCTCTCTCTCTCTCTCTCTCTCTCTTATTATATATATATATAGTATATTTGATTATCCAATTTGTTTTATAAAACTATATTTTTATTTTTTTTGTTAATTAGATATTATTACAATACATTAAACAAAATATTATTTTTTTAAATATTTAAATATTTAAAACAACTATACAACAAAAAGTTTGTTTTCCATTAAAATATTTATGGATAAAATATATGTATTATTTTCAACAAAAASTATTTTTGCATTTATTTTATCTATTATTTTATTTTTAAACTATAATATATAGAGTAGTGATTGACACTTGAATAGAGTTATGTTATCAAAAGCTCCATTGGGTAACACATTATGAGATATATAATATATATATATATATAAGTATATATATATATAAGTATATTATATGTATTTTTAACAGAAAATATAAACTCACAAAAATATCAAAAAACATTTTATAATATTTAGATATACAGTATATCTATCTATATATCTATATATATATAGATAAAATTGCTAAATGTTTTTACATAATCTTSTTGATCTATAAAAATTTGTGATATTTATATATATATATATATATACAGTWTATTTGATTTATAATGTGTGCGACACTTACAGACACATAGAGTCTCTCTCTCTCTCTCTCTCTCTCTCTCTCTCTCTCTCATAACTGTAATATTAAACATTAAAAGTGATAATAAATTTTTTTTCTATGTTTAGTATATTATATATATATAACAGAATCTATATATATATTGTATGGAATTTTGTTTAGGCATTCAATGAAATAAATGCATTACTGAATAATACTATATATATATACCATATATTGAGTTAATAGATGTGAGCGCTTGGCTTCACTTATCCATTGGGAAAATGAGTGCACAATATATACACAATAAGTTAGGTCTCTCTCTATCTCTCTCTCTCTCTCACACACACTCACTCACTCACCCACACTGTAATAAACATAACAGTGCAGTAAATAGCTTATACATTCATATGGGCTCTCTCTCTCTCTCTTTCCATATATAATATACATATGTATGGTCTGCGGCATCATTTCATCCATGTTTTCTGCTCATTATCTCTCTCTCTCTCTCTCTCTCTCTCTAAAACTTATATTATGTAAGACCTAACCCAAGCATATAAATAATATCATACATATATAGTGTATATATATAGTATATATAGAGGACATATGTATAGTCATCATTTGTTACTGTAATTATTATTATTATTATTATAA